GAATATCTCAAGGCTTAATCATCTTTAATAGTTTATAATAAGATAACCTTAAAAATGAAAATTTCTGAGCTGAAGCTCTTTCTGGTATCAAGATAAGACTTTTAACTCATAAACATAGTCTACAAAAAGACTTGGAATTTCTCCAGTCCTTATATATATATAGTGTACCATTTTAGAACACAACAGTTTCCTGTACAACTCAGTTTACCCAAATAACTACAGCTTAGCAATGCTAGGAAAAACAAAGAGGTTAGTTATATATCTTTAAACCAGTTTTTTTTTAAAGTTTGAATAAACTTTAAGTAAGGAGAGACATTTTTTAAGCAAATGTTTTTTATTTTTTTGTGTGGTGTATTGTTATGAATTGCAATGCAAATGTCTAACATACTGGAGACCCTAGGCTATTCCTGTCAAAAGGTCTTTGGATCCCCAAATGGTTTCGAGGTTGAGAAACTGCCACCAGTCCTTTGCCAGACTGTTTAAATCACTGTCTTACTCTCTCACAACATAGAAATATCCCGGTTTCTGGTGTTTACCTGGGGCACTAGCTTTAGTTGCCCAGTTAACCCATTGGGTGTTTGAGATCCCAGTGTAGTCTTGAGCCTTTCTCGGGGTGAGACATTAAGCATAAAAACCATGTTTTGGGGTTGACATATTTTAGTTGACAAAACGTTAGTCAGAAGCAGAACTAAAAGGTTTAAAAAGCAAGGTGAACACATTTGAGTGTTTGCCCAGAATTATAGACATTGATGGATTAGGTCTTTGCTTTAAGATTACCTATGTAACCTTTTGCTTATTAACCCTGTGTTAAAGTTTTGAGTTAACCTTCTTTTGTTACAAATATTACAGATTGTTAGCCATGCCCAATAAATTTACAAACCAATAATTCCTTAGCCATTCTGCTCTTGTTATTCATGCCCACCAATTTTTGACCCCAGACAGAGAGACATTAAAAGCAAGTCTGGGTCTGAAAAATAGTGGGCCATAACCTAATTCTAGAGCCAGCCTTTAAATAAAGCAGAACAGCACAAAACAACTTTAATATTATCTATACCCAATTGACATTTGAATCCCTATTACATTAGTTCCAATGGCCAGAATGCCCAGAGATAAATTCTGTGCCCAGGTGCCTGGCTGCAACAGTAACAGCTGAGCTGTAACCAAGACACACAGAACACAGTAAACTCATACATTCAAGACCAGTCAGGCACAGATGTGCAGTGGCCATTTTCATGCATTCAAACAAAACTTTGCTTATTTTCTCCAGCTGTAATTTCAAGGAGGGGTGCCATGCTACCCACTGGCTCCAATCCTCACAAGCACCAGAGAAAGCTGCCCACAAACCCAAGTACTGCATTCTGCAACCACACACTGTCATTGAATTATTTCAGGTTGCAGCTCTGGGCAGCGATGATGCTCGGCTTAAAGAGCTGTCTGTGAAGAGCTCCAATAGCAGAGCCAGTTTCTCCAAAGAAGCCACGTATTTCTTCTTTCCTTTTCAAATATGAAACACAGAGCGACAATCAAGCAACTAAACAAAACGACAAACTGACACACATGGACAGACTGGCACACCGAGGGCAACCAATAGAATGAGAGAGGAGATGGGAGAGAACGGGATGTCCTGCCAGTGGGGCCCAGACATCTGCTACTCTATCAACCCACCCAAGAGGCAGATGAGGCTTCATCCTTGGGAAGACGGAGTCTCCTGAACTGTTGGCCTTCTCTTGGAAATCCTTGAAATGTTGTAAGACAAGGTCTAGGGGAATAGAGGAAGCTGAAGAAGCTTGTCCTATGACCTCAAAGTACGAAACAAGACAGAGACCGACATAGAAAAGCGAAACCAAAAAACAAAGCTGACAGTAAGGGACAGACTGACAGGACAACACAAAGACACTTAGGGGAGATGCAAAACCATAACCAGATGTTCCTCCAATGGCAACCAGGGAGGAAACGGGATGTCTCCCATCCTCTGACCCTAAGAGCATCCATTTCTCCTTTGGGTCCAGATAGCCACCACCAGAAACCAGAAGCCAGAAGCCAGAAAGGTTGGTTTACCTCAGGAGGGCACAGGTACGGCCAAATCAGCCTTGTAGACTCTCGTGGGCAGGCATTGAGATTCCCAGACAATGCACCAAAATGTTGTGGTCTGAGGCTCTGAATTAACCCAAGCAGACACAAGAGGTTACCTCAAAGCAAGGTTTAATGCAGGGCAGTACAAAAGAAGGGAGGAAGGGAAGGGTATTGATCCATGGGGGCCACAGAACAGACTCCAGAGCTGAACTGTGACCCCCAAATGTCAGTTGAAGCAAGTATTGAAGTTTACAAACACTTAATTTACAAACATTTGTTGCTAAGTTACAGTTACAGTTTTCACCAATCAGGATTTAGAGATTAGGGGCTGTTGCATGTGTTCCATCATTGTCAACCAACGTACAACACAAGCTTTTCAATCCAGCCAGATTCACTTGTTCCTTCCATTGTTAGGACAGCCATGATGTTTCTAGAGAACTAAAGATGTATAACGAATATTTCTATGGTTTAAAGAGGAGGTAGGTCAGCTAATGGAAGGTTCTCAGCTTCCCTAGGGCTTGGGAACCTGAACTTTGTTTCACACTACAGGTAAAATGGAGTCTGGAGTCAATTTGGTAGTACTTAGGACAAGGTGCTCTTTGCCTGTTCCCAACAGAACCTTCTCTACACTTAACAGTCAGGGATTGCCTGTCTAGGGAAGGGTGTTGCCCACTGTGGGTTGATCTTTGTTCCTCAGTAAATGTAATCAAGCCCCCACTCTCTTCCTAGGCAATTCCAAGTTGTATCATGTTGACAATTAAAACAAAGTCACAACTGGCATGAACTAAATATGGTGACAGTATAAATAGATTACAATTTTGAGAAAATGAAAACTTTTTACATTGATTATAAATAAAAAAATCAATCCCTTATCTACACACCAGTGTTTATAAGGAATGTAATTATAATAAGGAAAATAACATATTAAAATGAAGGGTAAAGCACACCAGGCTTTTTCTTTTGGACTACCAACCAGCTCCCAAATCATGACACAGAGACTTACTAGTTTTGAATGCTTGGCTTAGCTTAGGCTTATTTCTGACTAGCTCTTTTTAACTTAAATTAACCTGTTTTTCTTTGTCTACCTTTTGCCTCAGGGATTTTTACTTTTTTTTTCTTCTGTATATCTTACTTTCACTGCTTCTGGTGTCTGTCTGTCTGGCAGCTGCTGGCTTCTGGCCCCAGACATGACCCACTCTTCCTCCCTCATTCTCTCCTTCTCTCTTCCCTAGAGTCCTCTTCCTATTTATTCTCTTTGCCCACCAGCCCTGCCTATCCTCTCCTGCATAGCTATTGGCCATTCAGCTTTTTGTTAGACCAGTTAGGCGCTGTAGGCAGACAAGGTAAAACAAATGCAACACATTGTGACATAATTAAAATGCACATCCTTACATTATTAAACAAATGCAGCATAAACAAATGTAACACACTTTTACACAGTTAAATTAATACTCTGTAGCATATACAAATGTAACACATTTTGCCTAGTTAAATATTTCACAACAGTAAAGATTTATTAGATAAATGTATTTCAAAATAAGTTTTGAAAAAATTAAAATCAAGCAGATAAAGACAAGTTGAGATGCCCCAAAATACTAGGACAAAGGAACGTGATAAGTTTCAGTTATATCTGTTTTCAAATAAACTTTGTTTATATTTGTAACCCCTAACACTTATGAAGTTGAGCTAGGAGGATGGAAAGTTCAAAGCCAGCTTGGGCTACATAATGAGACCCTGAAACAAGAAAACATTTTTATGAGGAAGTGATAAGCACCTGGAGGTAGGGGCTGGAGGCATGATTCAGTGGTTATGAGCACATACTGTTCAAACTCGGAAGACTTAACTCTGAGACCCAGTAACTGTGTTGCGTGGCTCACAACCACCTGTAAGTCTAGGGGATCAGATGTCCTCTTTCTTGATGTATACCAGCCACATGGTCACTTATGATATTTCTTGAATACCCTAAATAACATGTATCTCACAATCTTCATACTTGTAGTTCATCTCATTTTTCTACACAGTACTTCAAATCATTTGATACTTGTTTCTTATTTGTATCTTATCTCATCTTCTTCAGAGTGGAAACATTTATTTATCTCTAGCACCAAGTGTGAACTTGATATGTATTTTGATATATGGATATGATATGTATTTTGATATATGGATATGTCTTTAATAGATAAGTTCAAGAAAAAAATAAACACTTAAGACATCAGGAGTAGGTTAAAAAATTACCATTTCTCCATGCAACTGAAAAAGGAAATCTGGACTTAGATGGAGAGAAATTAAATTCATAAGGACCATTGCAAAAGGAAAGGGGCACTATGACTTCCAGGAGGTTCTCTGTAAAGTCTGCAAGTGTCTGGGGCAGAAAATTTTCTTGACTGGGGAGAAGTGAGAAATCTGAGTGGATGGTGTATATACAAGCGGCATGAGCTAGCTCCCGGTGATGTGAACAGGAAGTTTTGCATTTTGATATGTGCTTCATCTTAGGAAAGATCTGTGACCTGGGGGAAAGGAGAGAAGTTTTATCAAGTTGGCTTAGTAGGAGCTTTGCCCAGATCACTCAGTGATGACCAAAGAATTAGAATTGGAAGAGTTGTTTCACTTTGTTAGGCTGATACAACAGAGTGGGGAGTATGTGCCTTACAGGCAACAGTAATTTATCACTCATAGTTTTGGGGCTAGAAATCCAAGATCAAGGCACTGGTGGACTAGGTGTTTAGTGGGGCCCTACTTCCTGCCTCACAAGTAGCACCTTTCTCCTGGAACATCACATGGTAGAAGGTCAACTGAGCATCTTTGTGTTGATATTATAAGTGACTAACTCCATTATCTATCTTCTTGTTCTAATCACTTCCAAAGGTTCAGCACCTTAAAACAGTCATCACCATGGAGATTAGAATTTCAGCATACAAACACTGGGGGACACAAGCGTTGAGACCAGGGAGAAGGCCCTGTCTGATTTTGTCATAGGTACACCGGCATTATCCAGAGTCTTGTCTATGTCATACGTGGAGGCTGGTTTTTTTGATGAGAGGTGATTATTGACTGCTACTATTTCTCACACTGTTCACAAACCACAGGGTTTTGGTCATAGTGAGGACATTCACGCCCTGTAAGATGAGAGGATAGCAGGCATTGTGATTGTCACTGAGTTTTCCCCTTCAGTCTCAGACTTAATGGAGAGGCTGTTCTCTAACGCCCACCTCCCATCATCAAGTGTAGCCATCTGCCATCTAAGTCACAGACTCTTAAGTCCTACTTTGTCACACTTCCTGTGGGTCATCGAATGACAGGAGTGGAGATGATTCAAAGAAGGAACTCAGAATATGTTCCTTATTTTATTCGGTGTTCTGCCAACCAGAGTGATATATTACTAAAGTTGAAAAATGATGATCTCAGCTGTAAATAATTTATAGACCCAAAGAAAGTTGGAATTAAGTTGTTTATGCTTTCTTCCCTCTGAATAGCTTGCTGTGGGAGGCAGCCCTAGTTCCTAAACCTCGTTTGGCACCAAATCACACCGTTCTGTGGCTCTTATTAAATGCATAAATCTTGTGTTCTTCAAAGCGTGGCTGCACATGAACAAACAACCTCAAACGTTTAGTCTAGTTCTAAAGGCTAAGAAGCTCGGAGAGCGCTGGTCTTAGTTTGAAAATGCTAACACCGAAGCAGGTTAACAGAATGCTTCAGAGAGGTCACAGCGGCTACCCAGGTAACATCCGGTTTCCCTGGATGCCTTTTCCCAGCTCTCCCAGGCTGACTTTATGCTGTAAAGGAAGGAAAAAGGGTTCCATATGTGTAGATTGAAACATTCTCATCTTCTAGCCCTGGAGGAGGGAGGTAAATTTTTCAACAAGCAGTTAAAAAATAATGCTTTAAAGCACACCAAGGAAATACTTTTTTACAAAGTTTGGCAAGAAAAAAATTAATCTCCGTTTCGCTGAGAAGTAATACAAGCCATTATCTGTATTATCACACACATGTCTTGCCAGGCAGCATGCTAAGCAGTCACTTGATCTTTGCAAGAATCTTACGCTATTATTATCCACGGAATCCACACAGTGAATGTGAGGCACTTTCCTGGGTTCAGGCAACCACAATATGGTGGATCAGAACCTCAGACGCTGCTCTTTCTTCTCAGACTTTCCAGCTAATGCTTTCTATGGCATTTAGCTCCAGCATTCTTAAACTATCTGTGTACTTTTGTATATTGATACTAAATATCAAATGCATTAAAACGCACACACACACATACACACACACACACACAGAGAAATATTAGAGGATAATTTTAAAAAATGAAAATAGAAATTCAAATTCCTTCTTTATATACTCTCAGAGAATGCCTTGGACATCCGTGAACTTAATGTTGGTGAGTCAACTCTTCAAGATGATTCCCTCTTAAGGACTGTGCAGAGGGAAAGCCAAGGCTCATGGTGTCTTGGTAACTTGCCCAGAAACACATTGTAATTGGAAGATTCTAGAAAATCACCTTATGGAGTTCCTCTAAGAGCCTGCCCTAATGCCTCTTGCTCAGCTGTACCCGCCTTAAATCCTCGGCGTCTAGTGTGGTCACCGAGGTCTCTCAGTACTTTCACCTTAGGTTTTGTGGATTGCCGGATAAATTGGGGCTAGAATGATTGTATTTTTGTGAATTGATGAGCCTGAAATTTTCTTCAAGCTTGGCCTCTCTCCACAGAGAACATCTCTTGCTTCCATTGAAGAATTACTGACTCCTCCCACCACATGTGTCTCTTTAGCACAGACTGATTTTTCCCCCTAGAGTTTATCTGACTGTCCTCTTATATGGGGACTAGATACCATCCATAATTAGTATTTATTATTTCTCTTTTTATTTTATAATTTAATTTTTATATCAGCCACGGATTCCCCTGCCCTCCCTCCTCCCACGCCACCCTCCCACCTACCCCCAACCCATCCCCCATTCCCATCTCCTCCAGGGCAAGGACTCCCCTGGGGATTCAGCTCAGTCTGGTAGATTCAGTTGAGGCAGGACCAGTCCCTCCTTTCTTCACCCAGGCTGAGCAAAGTGTCCTTGCATAGGCCCCAGGTTCCAAACAGCCAGCTCATGCACTAAGGACAGGTCCCAGTCCCACTGCCTGGAGGCCTCCCAAACAGTTCAAGCTAATCGACTGTCTCACTTATCCAGAGGGCTTCATCCAGTTGGGGGCTCCTCGGCTATTGGTTCATAGTTTATGTGTTTCCATTAGTTTGGCTATTTGTCCCTGTGCTTTTTCCAATCATGGTCTCAACATCTCTGGCTCATACAGTCCCTCCTCTTTCTTGCCACCCATTGTTCTGAGAGTTCACTTTAAAATAAGCAATATAAAATGTTTCCCTGTTTACAAATTTAGTTGTGATTGTCACCATAGTTTTCCACTCTGACCCTTCAGTGGTTCATGGCTGGTAATCAAATGTGGCCTAGTAAAGTGGCCAGAATGGTGGTATCTGTAAGTGTGGCATGATAGGAAGCTAGAGGCTTGATGTCATTCAAACTGAGCAACGACCAATGTGTGATGACTACTTTTAACTGCCAGCTTGACATAATTCAGAATCACCTGGAAAAGGAGTCTCGGGGAGGGGCTCTCGAGATTAGGTTTACCTATGGGCATATCTGTGGGAGATTATCTTAATAATGGAAATTGAGATGTAAAGATCTGTCTCTGTTGGAGGAGGGGAATTCAGAGGAGTCGGAACCCTTTAGGTGGGGAGAGGGACTGGAATCTGGAACTGTGAGCCAGACAAGCCCTCCTTCTCTTAAGTTGCTTTTGTTGGAACATTTTGTCACTGCAAAAGGAATGAAAGTTAGACACTGTACATCCTTCCCAAGAGTCTCCAAGGGCCGCTAAGAAAATGCAGGAGACAGAAAATGAGCTCTTAAGGTGACAACCAATAAGGGGAGCAGTTGCCTTCTGCAGCTTCCCAGCCCAGAGTCTCTTTTTGTTCTTTTTCGTTTCTTCTCCCTCCCTTCCTTCTATCCCTGCCCTCCACGTTTGGATGGGTAGAATCCAGATCCCTACACATGCTAAGCAAACACTCCTGCTGAGCTACCTCCCCAACTCTTATGTTTCAAGAACCTCAATGACTTTTCTCTTCTGCAAGACATCACACTAATCCATTACATTGGTCATGTGCTGATTAAGCACAGTGAACGAGATTTGCAACTACTTTAAACTTACTGGAAAAGTTATAGGAGATAAATCTATAGGGGTTTGGCTTTCTGCAAAATTTCTGTGTGTTCAGTTGCCTGGGACATGGCAAGATGCTCCTTCTGAGGTGAATGACCAGTGTTGCGCCCCCTGCTGCAAACAGGAAAGAGGCACAACATCTAGGCAGCCTTTGGATTTCAGGGGCCATGTATTCTTTGAAGTTTTACTTTTGAGTGAGTGACCCAAAAGCTTCCAGTTTTGAGCGGAGCCTAGACCAATTACTACTATGTCATAGGCCAGGCAACTCCATACATTATTCTACCACTTGAACCATATGACCAAGCAGATACAGTAGTACCTAAAGGAAAAGTGGATGAAGAAAAGCTATTTGGAGTCCGTGACAAACCTGTACAATGAGTCAAAGCATAGACTTTGAAGATTTTGGAGAAAGGTTCTGTCATTGTCTCCAAACATCTCTTCATTTGAGAGGCAGTTCTTTGCCTGCTATGAAGCCTTAGTAGTGACTGAAAGATTAACCACATAGAACCACCTCAGCATGGAAACTGAGATGACTATTAAGAGCTAAATGCTGTTTTATCCAGGCCATTAAGTTGGGTGTGCACATAAATATGCTGTTTTCATATAGAAGTAATGTATATGTAATCAGACCCGAGGATGTCCTAAAGACAGCAATTCACATGGAGAAGTTTCTCAAATATCTATAAAGTGCTTTCTAAGATGCCTAGGCATTCTTAGTGTGGATTTCTATTGCTATGAAAAGATACCATGACCATGGCAACTCTTATAAGGAAAATATTTAGTTGAGGGGGCTTGCTTATAGTTTCAGAGGTTCAGTCCATTATCATCATAGCAGAGAGCATGGTGGCCTGCATGCAGATGTGGTGCTGGAGGAATATCTGAGAGTCCTATATCTTGCAGGCAACAGGAAGTCAACTGAGACACTAGGCGGTATCCTAGGCATAGGGACCCTCAAAGCCCACCCCCCACAGTGGCACACTTCCTCCAACAAGGCCATATACACTCCAATAAAGCCACACTTCCTAATAGTGCCACTTCCTATGGGCTTATGGGGGCCAATTACATTCAAACTACTATACATTCCTGAGGAACATAAAATGATATCAGAAGTACATGATAATAAATGACCAGTTACATTGATGAGATGACGATTGTAATTGTCATCAGCATCTCTTTACTGATTATAATCATTTGTACACATATATTAAGTAAGCATCTTTGCTTTTTTCATTTCTTATTCCTTTATCACATAACAAAAGATATTTAAACTTCCTATCAGTATTTAAATATAGTGAATTTTTGAGCATAGTATTTAAGTATCAGGAGGAAAGTAAACACCATTCAAGGACTTTCTCTACTTTTCTGAGGAAGGGATGAGTACACTTTTAGTTTTGCACAGGGAAGCTGTTTTATGTTGGGTAGCATTATGAACTTGTTACGGTCTTTGTTTCAAGATAAAGTGTGTTTTAAGAGGAGGTGTATGGGTGTCTGGTTGATAAGGGTTGGCCTTATAACTAACAGTATCTGTTGATTGGGTAAGAGATGACGAGGTATTTGACCAAACATTTCACTTGGTGTGTATGTTAGTGTGAGTCAGTGGGCCTGAGAAAGATAATCTCCCTTAGCAATGTGAGTTGACATCACTCAACCCCAGTAAGACCTGCAAAGAACAACAACCCAGATGATTGAGTTTCTTTCTTTCCTCTTGGAAAGGGGACATGTGTCCAGAAACGGTCTCCGGATCTTGGACTCAGATCATGGCTTACACTATTACCATTTCAATTCTTGGCTCTCAGAATTCAGGATAAATTGCATGACTGGCTTTCCTGTTCCTCTACCTTGAAGATGGGAGATTGTGGGACTTCTTGGCCTCCATGATCATGTGAGCCAATTCCTGTAAATGTGTGTGCCATCTGTTTTTGTTCCTCCATTCCTCTCTACCTTCATCTCTCCCTCCCTTTCTTCACCTCCTGACCCCCATAAATAATATATATTATATAATATATATTACACATATGTTCTATTGATAGTGATACATTGGACACATTATATTCAAAACATATGCACCTGTGAATATATTCTATTTCCTTGGCAAACACTGCCAACCTTAGTATGTTAAGACTTGAAACAAAGTGATTTTCTTTAACAGAATATACTGGAAGTCTTTCCTTGGTTGGCACAGATCCAGGGTAGTTTGGCTCCACAGCACAGCTGTGACCACTGAGCTTTGTGAAGTATCCCTCTCCAGAGAAACCTTGTATCATTTCATTAAATTACTTTTGTCTTCAGGATGGAGGTTTATTGGTTCTCAGCACAACCGGGAAATCATCTCTTTTGGACTATGGAGAGTTTTGATTACTCCTTCCAAATTAGTTTTTTCTTCCTCTGTTAGAACTTTTAATCAGTACAGCTTGCCAGGCATAAGGCAAGATATCCAGAAAATGGAAGACTCCCTGGCTGCTCAAGGATTCAATTCCCAGGGGACATACTTCTTACTTTGTCCAATGAAGGACAATGGCAGAGGCATGGAAACAAGCCCACAAAGAGATTGCTGTGCCCCCATTCTGTGTAAGGCATTTCATGAAGAATGTTGGACTAGATCCTGCAACACTCTTACGGTGTTCCAAAGGGCTACCCAAAGGCTGAAGAGACTGAGAAATCTGTACCTGAGATATACTCCAGGAAATGGTGGGTCTTTGATTTCAGTTCAGTTCAGACTGTATTTGCCCTTCATATTATAGCTAGTTACTATCTACTAGCACTCTCCTTGGCCTGGCTTCTAAAGGAGGCTTAAATAATTCTAAATTAATAAAACTAGCACAAATGAACCACTTCTTTGTCATCTGTAGGGAGACAGGACAACAAAAAAGTCTGATCAGATACCCTCACCTTACCCAATACAAGCTATTTGAGCTCCAATTTTCTTCTGGGAGAAAAGTGGAGGCAGCAGATGATGTCTCCATGTAGCTTGACATTTTATGTTTTTTGTCCCTATGACCCTGTGCTCTACTGACCTAAAGACATTCATTCTGAGGAACACAAGCTTCCCTGAGGCAATGTGACAATGATCCTATTAAACTAGAAATTAAGACCATCCAACCACATTAGGATTCTCATACCTCCATCAACAAGGGAAAGAAGGGAGCTAGAAAGCATGGATCATCTTTTGTATTTTGAGAGAAGTCATTATTAACATTTTTCTGAATGCATTTTCTCTTTTATAGGGGAAGTTCCCCCACTACATGCACACCAAAAAATTTTTCCACAACTAAATACAATTAATTAGATTTACTGCCCTAGTGAAAAGCAGCCACGTATGGTATGGCTGAAGTCAGTAGGGTAGAGAGAAGGTTATGACTAGAGATGCCCGCAAACTGCAGATAGGAAGAGTTAGTAGATGTTCTTCCTGGGCTATAGGGGAGGGATAAAGAGACTTAGAGATGACATAAGAGTCATAATGTTCCCTGGACCTCCCTGCAGCTCAGACCATCAAGACTTGAGGATTTATAAACCAAAATAACTTTAATAAAACAAAAAAATGTCAGGAAATGCAATCTATGCTCTGTTCAGGAGTGGGCCAGCAATGCATGTGTATGTATGTATGTATGTATGTATGTATGTATGTATGTATGTATGTATGTGTGTCCTTAAGAAAGCTCTGAGTCACTCTGAATACCAAATGACAACTTGTGTACACAAATCCCTTCTGCAAACTTAGTAGTCGTGAAAAATCAAACAATATTTCCAATAATTAAGAGCAAAACAAAATAAAACAAAAACTCTCAGATGATCTCATACCCCTTGGTACCTCTGCATGAGCTTTCATGGCTCTCCCAGTTGGTTTAATACTAACTTAGTGGTCTGTTCTACTTCCTTTGTCAGAGTGAAGAACTTCTCAGGAATCATCTCAGAAAATCCACCTGGAGTTATGAAAGTCATAGCAGAACCATACAGACATAGCAGAATGGGCCAACAAGAAGAATGGATGCCCCCTTCCCAAAATTGTCTTAGTTCCAATGTGATGCTAACAAAATACTTGAGACTGGGTCATTTATAAAGAACATAAACTGATTTCTTATGGTTCTGAATGACAGGAAGTTCAAGGTGTTGGTATTAAGTTCTAGTGGGAGTTGTGCCTTCTCCCAAGATGGCACCTTTTACATTTAAACTATTTTACCCTTGGACTTCTAAAATTCATGTTCTTCTCATACAGGAAATTTATCTACTCCATCACCAAAGGGGATACCAGCATCAATTTTTAAAATCTAAGTGCAGAGTCTCATGTCTCATCTAGATCACACACACACACACACACACACACACACACACACACACACACACACACACAAAACTTGAAGTGTGATTTGAAAAAAAATGTCTGTTCACTTCAGATAGGACATTGATAAAAGACTAAAGAAACAAGTTTACTCATGTCTAGGTTAGAGAAACCACTTGTTTATTGGGTTTGCATTCAGGGACATGGGTGTGGTGCTATTTTGTTTGTGCTCTAACAAATAAAGCTTATCTGGAGATCAGAGTGAGAAGCTAGCCACTAGTTAACCATCGAGGCTAGGCAGTAGTGGCATACACTTTTAATCCCAGCTCTTGGGAGGAGGAAGCAGAAAGATCAGGAGATCAAGGCCACCATGGGCTACAGGAGATTGATCCAGTTTAAAAGAGAAACAGAGCCAGGTGGTGGAAGCTCACACCTTTAATCCCAGCACTAGGGAGGTGGAGACAGGAAGTGATGTGGCTGGGCAGAGAGAGGAAGTGATAAGGCAGGCAGAGAGACAGGAGCTCAACCCCCTTTTCAGGCTGAGGAGTTGGTGAGATAAGAGGTGGCTGTGGCTTGCTCCTTTGTCTCTCTAATTTTTCAGCATTTACCCCATATTGTATTGCGTTTTTGTTTGTTTGCTTGTTTTTTATTTTTTTTTTATTAAGACCAATTAGGATTTGTGCTACACATGGGTGGCTCAAAATAAATTGCATCACCAACAAGCCCACCCTAGCCTAGGTGATGACTCAGAGAAGCTGCATTCCTGGAGCTCCCTGCCCAGTGTGCAGGCTGCCTAGCTGACGATTCGCCTCCACTCCAGAGAGTATCCATTTCTCATGAAATCATAAAGAAGGGTCTGGCCAGCCTTAAAACTTTCTGAGCATCCTCAGCTTCCTAAGTGTCGTGACCTCCTGGCTCTTCTAAGTTTTGTTAGCTCCCTAACTTAGGAATTGCCCTACTTTCTCTAGGAGAGAATGTTTCAGTTCAGGGGAAGTAGTTATACAACATTCTTCCAGCTGTGTGAGTCTGATAGCAAGAAATCTATGTGCTTTCTAAAATATCCTGGTAAGTGATAAACACAGTCATTCCAAATGGAAACCACAGAAAAGAAAAGGGGGGAGTAACCAGTCTCAACTAAGTCTAACTTCCAATAAATGAAATGACATTGAAATCTCAAGTAATCATTGACTCCATGCCTGGTCTTCCAGCTACCTTGGGGCTGGGACTCCATGGCTCCAGGGAAACTCTCCCTAAGGCTTTGCTGAGTACAGCATATATTATATTTTTCTCAGGTTGGAGTCTAGGTCTCTGGCTCATCCTGAGCTACCACTGTAAGCTGCTGGCTCTGAGGGCCTAGATTGTGGTGGTTTCTTTGCCCCAACCTCTCCACTAAGCATGGTCTTTGGGAAGGCTCTCTGAGGTATTCCTGGACTTTTGGCTCTGTTGGCTTTTATCCAACAGAGACTTCCAATGGTGACCTGTTTCCATGGATCCACTAGAAATTGCCATAGAGAGGAGTTACATGAATATGTGTGTGTTTGGTGGGGGGTATGTGCACACGAGTGCAGGTGCCTTTAGAAGCTAGAGGCATTGGAATCCCTGCAACTAGAGATACAGGTAGCTATAAGCTGCCTGATGTGGGTGCTGGGAACTGGACCTGGATCCTGTGCAAGAGAAGCCAGTACTCTTAACTGTAGCACAAATCTTAACAGGTCTTATTAATAAAAACAAACCTGAAGCCAGGTATTGGGGTGAATGCTGGAAGATCAGAGAAGCAGAACAAGCCATAGCCACCTCACCTTGCCAATTCCTCAGCTGATTCTGTCTCCTTAGACTGGAAGCTTCTGCGTCCTCATCCAAATGGATCTCAGCTGAACTGTGCTGCTCAAAAGCCTAAAAGCTTAACTGACTAGTTCCTGGTTTTCATGCCTTTTATACCTTTCTGCTTCCTGCCATCACTTCCTGGTATTAAGGGGTCTTGTTACCATGCCTGGCTGTTTCCAGCGTGGCCTTGAACTCACAGAGATCTAGATGGATCTCTGCCTCTGGAATGCTAGGATTAAAGATGTGTGCTACCATTTTCTGACCTCTATATCTAGTGGCTGTTCTGTTCTCTGACCCCAGATAAGTTTATTAGGGTGTACAATATTTTGGGGAACACAATATCACCACATTTAACCATTGAGCATCCTACTTCATCACTCAAATTCTGATTACAATAAAGCACTAGAACACACATCTGATTCAGTCAGATTCTTTGTCACTTTGCAATAAGAATAACCTCTCTTTTAGTTTCCAGTAAGACAGTCCCCATTTCCTCCTAAGATCTCAAAAAACTATCATTTTCGGTCTCTATTTATATCAACATTCTGATGACAACTTCTCTGACAGTTTCTTTGCAGAGTTTGGTTCTGTCTGTAGCCATGTCCCACTGCCTTGTGCATGACAACCCAGGTTTTTTTTCTAGCATGTGTTTTCAAACATTTCCACCCACTAGCCGCTACCCAGTGTTAAAGCTTCTTCCTTATTTTAAGGTGTCTGTGTAACACTGTGCCTCCAGCACCAACTTCTGTCCTGTCAACATGTTCACACTGTAGAACAGTGGTTTATTCTCTCACCGGGACCCTTTGGGACACCACTTCTTACTTCCTCATTCCAAGTGAATCAAGATGAGATGCACGGAGACATGAATTAAGGGCATAAAGAACTTGGACTCTGAATGGGAGTGACCTGAGGTTACTTTCTGTGTTCAAGCAGTCTGTGTCCCTCTGATAGTCCTCATATTTAGAGCTGCTATTACTCTGGCCAGCACGTCACTTAAGGAAAGTCTTGGTGTTTGATCATCTTGAAGGCCTCCTGCCAAGCCCACAGTCTCCCCTTCCACCTCCTGGTTCTTAGTTGTCAAAGTAGTCAGGGGGTGAAAACATTGCAAAAAAAAAAAACAAAAAAAAAAACAAAAAAAAAAAAAAAAAAAAAAAAAAAAAAAAAACCCAGTGTTTGCCTGAAGGTGTTCTCCATGTGGCAGTTGCTTCATCTCTCTCGTTTACTCCCTCTCCTTACCATAAAGTCAGTCAGTAGAGACCATGACCTTCATGCTTCTGCTCCACCAAGCTCTCCACTCACTGATGTGGTCATCCAGAAAAGAGCATTTCTAGCACATGCTGAGTTGTAAGTGCATGTTTAAATTTTCATTATACCGATCAAATACGTCTCCACAGTAAATGAGAATTTCAAAAGAAAAATTTGGCAGCTTCATGAAAAATACAAGGCAATATTAGAGGCTGAGAGAATCTTTCATCCACACCAGAAAACAGCTTGCAAAAACAAAAGCTGTCTGGAGTGGTATATGCAGTTCCCTCCAGGGATCTCATCTCAGTAAAAAGACCACAGTGGAAAGCTTCCAAGACTGGCATTTAGTGTGAACATGTCCAAGAGGAGGAACCCGTCCTTCAGGCAAGGCAGGCACATTTGAAGGTTAAAGAAGATTGACAGGTTTACATTAGTTGCCTTCATCAGGGTTCTCTTCAGTTCACTAGAACCACTGTGTCTGGAGTTGGACAGATTCACTGGGACATACCTGAGAAATAAAGCACCATCCTGCCCTGTCTATGGCTGATGGATGCAGTGATGCAGCAAGAAGAGAAGCCTGGCACCGTGGCTTCCATCCAGGAGGACCCTGTGGTGTGGCTTCTATGTCTCAGACAGGCTAAGCTTCAACTGAAGTCTCATCCTTGCTCAGCTGCTGCATCTGCTCCATCCTGTACCCATCTTCTTACAGACACCCTTTCAGAGCACTCCCATAATAAGCCATGACACAAAAGCCACCTTCTCAGACCCACAGGACCTCCAATGTATGCAGTGTACACAGGGCAATGGATTGCTCTAAGGGGCTTCGAACTATGGGTCAATGGTAGTACAACCATGCAATCTCTCTCTAAGTCATCAAAGCATCACCCTGCCTGGGTAGGTGCTAGTGAGTGTGGTGACTCTGGATTGGTAGCTGTTGTAATAAACAAATGTTTAACTTTCAGGGGTTGATGTAGTAAAAAGTTATTTACTCTTCACTTTAGAGTTTAAAAGGCTTATAGCTTTTTGGTGGGTTAAAGGGCTGGGGAGGGTGACCTGGCATATCACTGCCTTTCTTGATGGCTGTGTGTGGTAGAGAAGAAAGGAGCCAGTCTTCCCCACTTCCTAAAGACATGGAATCCATGCATCTATTTCTTGAATCAGGGTTGACCTGAATGATGTGTGCACTAATGGGATATTAGCAATCATTGTATAAAGAAAGCATTGAAATGCATGTGCACATTGTGCTTGCTCATTTGGGGAACCAGGTTTCTATGAGAAAGGAGCTCAGATAACCTGGCAGATGATGAGACACATAAACCAAGATGTCTTATTAACCACTAATGTACCTTAGATAGAGAGCTGGCTCATCTAGGATCCACAGAATCATAAGTTATATAAAAACATATTTTGTTATACTACTAAATTATTCATCTTATGTAGCACACACTGACCAATAGGATATAACAAATTGTGATGACTCATATACATGAGGTTTTGCATATAATAGCTCCCTTTCGGCTCAAATTGCTGCCATGCAAATATGTGGACCATGACATATACAAATGAAAGTTTACACAAAGAGATGTGCTCATATTAAGAAGCATCATTTAAATCAAAACAACAAAGAGATGACTCTGAAATCTAGACTGATAAGTGTTACAGATATTCCTAATTTACATTCTAGGTAAATGAATGAATGAAAAGC